TGGGAATATGAATATGAAAATGAATAATGGATTGATATGACCACCCCCACCGTGGCTGCACTAATTAATATCGAGATTAATAGTTTAAACTAACCACCATCACTAGTGGGATATTTCTCAACTGTTGAACCCACCAGTCGATAAAGAATATATAACTAGTAGGTTACCCACCAAAGCGATATCCATTCCAACCCTGGATCAAATCAAAGAACTTTGATATGAGACTTGCCCGTTAGAGGCACATCAACATGAAGCACCAGCTTCTTATTCTCGGCATCATACTCGGCATCATGGAGTCCCTTCGGCTTACTCTCCACCCCAAGAACAGTGATGGTCTCAATAGTGACGCCAGCCTCGTACTCAAAAGTGCCAGTCATGCTGAGCTTGCCGTGCGCATATTCGAAGTCAATCTCCGACACCGTGTCCTGCAAAACCGACTTGCCGTCGTCAAGGTACAACGAGCCCTCAGCACGGCCATCAAGACCGGGTGCAACAACGATGTTAAAGCCCTTCTTGCGTAGCGCGGTGGTGGTGTTGGCGCTCTCGACGCGCTGCGGGTAGACGATGCCACCCTTGTAGTGAACCGTGATGTCGGTGTAGTCGACCTCGGCGGAGACGTACTCGCCGCGTCCGCGGACGGGCTTGCCGGTGCCCCATTCGTAGAAGATGTCATCGGGGAGGTAGTAGTTGACGGTCGTGCTGTTTTCCTCTGTAACAGGGCTGACAAGGATGCCGTCGCCGTAAAAGAACTGCAGGTCAATGGGGTAGGTGTTGGGGTCGTTCGGGTAGTTGAAGAACAGAGGGTTGAGGGCTGGAGTGCCGGTCTGGTTCTGTTTGTAGATAGAGGTGTAGATGTAATCGACTGAATTATTGTCAGTTCTTACTCCCTTCTCGGAGAGGAGACTGTGTGTGTCACTTACGGAGCTGGTATCTAATAGAGATTCCTTTGCGCGCGGCCTCAGCGACTGTCGGCCAGCGGTAGAACTCCTGGGGATTCGCGGAGATTTCGGCGTGGTTGCGGAAGAACGTGTAGAAGGAGCCAAGAGCTGCCCACCTGTTGATCCATATTAGCTAGAGCCGTCTATATATAAAGCGGGATTCAGCCTTTACCTAGCACAGAGCGTTTCCGTTACATTACCACCGAAGCCACAAACATCGGGGCCCACGACGGGGATTTGGTACAATGATGCAAACTGCAGGATCTGGCTGATGGATAGGCGGTACCAAGACCACCCGGAAATATTATCTGCAGAGTATTTAGCATGGTGTCGTTGTTAATATTGAATGGCCAGAAGCCAGAAGCATTCTTACCACCAAGCCAGTGGGACACGTCCTTGCCAGAGCCAGCAAATGTACTTCTCGTAATTACCAAAGCACGGTCATCTGGGCGCCGGGCACGCATGGCATTGTGGGAATGCGAGGACATCATAGCGCCGTAAAGGTTGTGGGTGTCATATTGAACGTATCCACCACTCTGCACTAGATCGGTGTCGGCAGTGCTATCAGCAAGCGTGGGTCCTGCGCCGTTCTGGATCATGTACGGCGGTCTGATTAACTCGCGATTTGGAAGGCCCTTGCACTCATCAGCCCCGCAGCCAGAGCCGGTCTTTTTGCCACTCTGCCAGCTGCCACTCGAGGAAGCCCAGTGGGATTTGGCGGACCGCCAATGGCCAGCACCAAGGTTGCGGTGGGAACTAGACCGAGGTTGATGATGTTGGACAACAGCAGTTGCACGCTTCTCATTTGACTTGCCGGAAGCAAAGTTTGGCTGAAGACTGTCAGGGAATCCAGGGATAGGAGCATCCGGTCCATCTCGGACTGGTGGTGGCTTCGGTGGGTCACCATCCACCTCTGCGAAATTCTCTGGGGTGGTGTTGTTGCCGGGGTAGGGGCGGTTGTAGAAGTTGGCGGGCTCGTTCATGTCGATCCATAACGCGTCAATGTCTGGACCATTCGTTCCGTCAAAGAACTCCAAAAACTGCTCACTCCAGTACTGCTGCGATGAGGGATGGAACCAGTCAGGGAAGTAGCTTGGACCAGACCAAACGACTCCCTGGTATTTGGAGCCATTCGTTTCCTTCATGAAAGTATCGTATTTGAGACCTGCATCGAGTGCCGGGTTGGACTCCTTGTAGAATACGGCGGGATCGACCATGACTATGTAATGTTGATCCCTCGAGTGGATTGTGTCCACTAGGTCTTTGTATAAATTGGCTGGGAACCTCTCTGGATCAATGGTGAAGATGCGCCGACGGTCCATGTAATCGATATCGGTCCATATGGTTTCCAGAGGAATGTTGTTGGAGGAGTAGTTGGCGGTGACGGCGGCGACCTCGTAGACGTCTTGGTAGCCGTATTTGCACTGGTGGTAACCAAGTCCCCAATAAGGAGTCATCAACGGGAGCTGAGCAATTTCCGCGTACTGAATGGCCACATCGCGTGGGGAGGGGCCAGCAATGAAGTAGAAATCAAGAACACCACCGATGATGTTGTACTCGAGGTACTGACCACCCTTGTTGTCGATGAAGATATCCATGCCGTTGGAGTTGAGCAGGAAAACTCCGTGAGTGCCATCCTTCCTGTGGTCGAAATAGATTGGGTGAGCGCCGTATAGGTTCTCACCCTCAGGTGTCCCGTAGGCATCGCGGGTGTAGATCGTCCGAGTGTAGTTGGTCGTGTTCAGCATGAACGCGTCGCTGTGCTCGCCCAGTCCGTACAGATGCGGGTTCTGTGGCAGGTGTGTCTTGAGATAGACATATTGACTCTCGAACACCAGTTTATTGCCCGTAGTGTCGAAGAGTACCTCACCGGTGTCAGTCCGAGATACAGTGAACGAGAAGGGGTCGGCGTTGAAGTCAAACTTGAGCTTGGAGTCTTTCGGGGAACACCATTGGCCGAATCCAGGGCGCGGGAAGACACTGTCTGGAACCTGGTAGACCGTGTTGTTGGTGTCCAAGATCTTGACGTGGAGTCGATCGCTGGTCTGATACTCCACTTCCAGCTTCAAGTCTGGGAGGTCAGTCCCGAAAACATTACACGCCGGGCCTGCGAGAGAAAGTTCCGCGTAAAAGCCAGAACGAGTCTCCCACTGCTTTGTTGCCTTGTATCCTGGGCATTCGGACAGGTCCTTTTCGTAGAGGTCATTGCCGGGGCCATCGAGATCCTCGATACCAGCCTGGCTCTGAGCCCAGACGCAGCCACTCAGGGCTGCGGCCGAAGTGAGCAGCTTCTTGAGGTACATGCTGATGCCTTGGATAGTGAGAAATGTCATGCACGCATACGGTCCTTATATACTTCTCTCGGTTCCCTCGGTTCCCTTTGCCAAGATGGACCGTGTGATGAGTGCGGAGACTGTAGCATTCCCCAAGGCCGCGTTCCCCACCCTAAATAGGGTATATTATTTCAACCATCGAACCCTAGAGCGAGAGGCCTTCGTTGTTTCTGTCACTTTTGAGGTCACCGTCCCATCAATGTCGTCGAGATCTTACCTTACCCCGGAGTTCGCAGTATATACATGGGTTTCACCTGCAGATCAAAACAAAATAGCAACATAAACCCTGCTCAAGCTGAAAGTCACCTACGATCTCCCAATTCTCGGCATTGGGTGCTCCGGTAAAAGCCCGAGGAATGATGCAGTCAGCTCCACTCGAAAGACAAATGCCGCGATATTGTGGGCATCGACCGACCTCTACTTCTCCGGCAAATGCCCGTTACTGCGGGGCTCCACCGGATATCCCCCACGCTTTGTTTGAATGTCTTGTCATGATCTCGGCTTCTCGGCTTCCCCGAGATCTTCATGGGGGTTGGGAATGTATAATCATTGAACAAATCAGCTCTCTAAGTTCCCCATTAAGACACGGCCAGCGTTGTAACCAAGAGAGAGTGGAATGTGAGCTCAACTCTCAAACGTTCGACAATCCTACTGCCTTCAGGGTCTGTTCAGGGTTTTTTTTAAGGGTCTCTTCAGGGTCTCTTCAGGGTTTCGATTATTCCAAGGTTAGTTTCTCCGACAATTTCCCAATGTATTTGTGACATCATATTTCTCTACCTTGTAGGCGAGAGTCGCATTCTTTGATTGCACAGCCCCAGGTTTGCAACCAATTGACCGTCATACTTGAGACCTTCCTAAAAGGCACATATCTAATCGAATATAGCAAGTTAGAACTTATCTTTGAGGCTTTATAAGACAACCTCCTAGAACCCTTGGTTTATACGCTAGACAAAGATAGGTATTCGACAACATCTCCTCCCCCAATATACATGTAAAGTGCCCATATTTCCCTCGTTCTACGCTTCGAAGACATGAAGTACTGCAATAGAAGATAGTAGTCTTCAAAAACTTCTAAGGATCAGGTATCCTCTGGAATGATGAGGGTATGTATCCTTTTCATATTCCAAATATATCTTTCGCGATCCCAAAAACAACACAAGGACATGCTATGACCAAGTGCTACAAAGACGAGAAACAAGCACCCAAGAAGTCCAGGTACTGGAGCGTCAACAGTGAACTGAACTGTGCAAACTTGTCTCTGCGCGAGAAAGTTGACCTCAATCTCACGACATCTTCCCCCCTCCAATTATTAGTTTTAGCACGTCTTCCATTGCTCGAGATGCTGTTTTCTCGGTTGAATCAGGGCAGTCTCTATTAACGAGTCCCGACTATGACAAGATCATCCATCCATCGGGCACCCCCAAGTGGTCATATTTGTATGCATTAGGGCCTGGAGCCCCAGGCCCTGGAAAGATAATTATTTAATGATCCGGGAAGGTCAGATTTACTAAGTGACCGAAAAGCGACAAAAAGGGAAATAAGAAGGGAAAGATTTCAAGTTGCCAGAAATTATCCGATATATAGGTACATAAGCGACAGCCTCCTTCATACATCCATGGATGAGTATGCGTACAAGTAAAATTACAAAGGCCGTAGCCGAGAAAGTTGCTGAAAAACACAAACAAAAAGAACAAAGAAACAGCCCTTTCGGGGGCTATCTCAGAATAAATCAAGCCTCCACACGAGTAGGAATCTTGACTTCGCCGCGTGTGCGGTCGCGGTGAGGCACACCGTAGCGACGACCAACAGCCTTAGAACCGCGGCCATCAGTACCGGTGGTCTCCGTAGTGTAGATAGTATCCTTGATACGGTAGTCGAAGCGCGAGTCCTCGGGGGAGACAACTGTGAGCTTCTTCTCACGACGAGCCTGGATGCGTTCACGACGCTCATTCTCAATTTTGTCTTGGCGCTCGAGTCTCTTAGATTGGAGGTCCGCAACAGCCCGCCACTCGTTGGGGTTGGCGAGGCGATCGCGCTCCAGGGCAACCAGGTGAGGGTGAGGAATACGCACATCAGCAGGCTGCAAGATCTGGCGGGCATTCGCGCCCTTGCCGACCCAGCCTATGGAGTTGGGGTCCTCGATTATCTTTTCGGCGAGGTCAGAAGGGTGTGAGATTTCTGCGGCCTCGGACTGCTCCATTGCGGGGGCACCGGAGAAGACGCGACCGGCCTCGACACGGTTGAAGGAGCGAGATTCGGGGACTGGGTAGAAGATTTGGGAGCCTGTCAGGGGGTGGGCGGGGAGGTCGTTGATGGGTTCGTGATATTGTTGACGCTCGCCTTTCTCGGCGAGGGGGTAATGGGGACCATCTCATGGATGGCCCGGGCATATGGCAGTGCTAGGGGTTTACCCTGATTCGAGATTGGTCAGTTCATGTCTCGCGACCAAATAAAACTTGATTGGAATCCAAAATGCAAGGTAACACAGTTCAGTTCAAAAAGTAAGGTTTAACCATGTGGGTGTCTTCAAGACTAATCGATTTTTTGTGACTCATCATATGCGTGGAGGTTCGAAGCAAAGTTCGAAAGGCAAGGAGGAAAAAGGACAGAAATGGGAGAGGTTCTTACCTGTGCGCGCTGTCTCTTCTCCAATTCTACCAATCTCACGACGGCAGCGATACGTTTCATATCGATTCCAAGTTCCACGCTGACAACGCGGGCACTCTTCTTCTGTTCAACAACGCGGTTATAGACCTCATTCCGTAGCTCCTCACTGAGGATAGGCTCGCTGAAGAAATTTTGGTTGTTGGGGAACGGACGGGCCTTGTCCGAGCCCTCGTTGTCTCGCTGCTTTAAGCTAGTAACATAGTTGGTTTGTCCAGGAATATGGTGCTTGAAAACGGCTCCTTCGCCGTCAAGCCATTCGAACATCTGCCGACGGAGTTTGGTCTGCCCCCGTGGTGCTGCCGTGGCAGAGAATTGGCGGGAAATGCATTGTGATGATGTAGGGGCTAATGAAGGTAGAGAGGAAAGTGAGGAAGAGGAAGAGGAGGTAGCTGTGAGGTAGGGAAGAAGGGTGTTGGACACAGTCCGGCTCTGTATCCGGGGTGGCATCTTGGAGGATATGATGGGGGAACGGGAGGAAGAATTTGATGTCAAACTAGATGAGAGGCGCTGGATATTAAGAATCAAGGAGTTCCAGCTGCCATTGACCCTTTTGCAGCAATGATTGAAGGATGGGAGGTTGTCGGGTTGAAGCGGGAAGCGTAGGTGTCTGCAGGGGAAGAAACTTCTCGGTAGTGTTATCACGTGACCCATCTCCACTGTATACAACCGAAGTAAACAGCTCCCTCCCATTCCCTATATTGGAATTCACAACATAATAATAGCGGTTCAACATTGAGTTCCGGGTATATTTGCCTTTACAGTAGAATGATTACATGACCTGTTCTGTAGATACTATAAAATAGATGAAGAGACACTCAAAGGGAAGCAAAAAAAGAAACCCGTTATAGCTCTTTACTAGACCTTAACATCATTATAAATGGAGTAAATGGGTTCGTTCTCCAGAATAGCTGGAACAGTTCATTGTATCAAGTACAGATCAAAGCAAATGTATCGGTATCATCCCAAGCAAGACGGGGTAAGAGGAACAGTAAAAAAATAATAATAGACACGCCTCGTTTCCTCATTCTTCTCCTGGAAAAGCAGAGTAAGCCAGACCCAAAGCAAAACGAGTGGCAATGCAAGCAAGATGAGAAAAGAGCCTTCGAGCAAAATACATGGGCCAGACGCCTTCGTCTCCGTCGCGATGAGAGGAATATGACAGGAGAGAGATAAAACCAACGCGAACGCCTGGGACAGTATGTGGTCGACGTAAGCCGATGTCATGTCCTTCCGTAGCTCATGCCATTTGAGTAGAGAGATATTAGAAGAGAAGCTAAAGAAAGCCACATAGGACCCTTCTTTTTTTTCGTACTTGCGTAGAAATAAACACGCATTGCAATAGAGAAAGCAAGTAAATCAGCAAAATCCTTTCCGATCCACGCAGACGATGCATCGAGAAAGATCCAGGGGATAGATGTAACAAACAGGGGGAATCACGTGGAATAAAGTAGATAACAGTTCGTATAGATCCTGGTTAGGGCAGAGACAGCAAACACGCATTAGTGTGCATTGCCTATTGAGTCAGGATAAACGAGCGAGATAATCAAGAACAAAAGCAAGAAATCACGAGGGTATGAAGGTGTGAACAAAACGCAATGGGTGACAGAAACAAACGCGCTCTCGAGCGCCTCGCACCGACCAGATAAGAATACAAGTTTGGCAATGACCTGAAATGCAATCCTCCCAATGAAAAGAGATAACAGAAAAAAGGAATGTAAGAGCGCCCGGGTTCCCATGCAACAGAAAGACGAAAAGCCAAGAAAAGGACTGGCAAAAAAAAAGAAGGGGAAAAACAGAAAAGCAAATCCGAAACAGTACTCCCGAGAGTGTATGCAGCCGCCGAATGCTGATCTAGCTCACGAAACGAAGATCCCCAAATGCGCCAGATATCCCAGTTCGTTCAAACATGCCGGGCATTATCTTGATATAACGCTTGAATGGGCTTAACGACCCATCATGTAGTCAGGGTAGAAGGAATTATAGCCGTTCAGGTTCGGCGCCGCATTGCTGTTGCCGCCAGGATTAGAAGGGGGCGGCGGCGACATCATTGGATTGGCTCCGTTTCGGATTCCCAGGCCGGAGTTGTGATTGTATGAGGCATTGCCCATCAGTCCAGCATGGGGATTGATGGGAGTGTGCATGGAGGTGCCATTGCGCATCGGCGGCGCGGGCATGGGCATGCCAAGACCAGGAGGTGCTGCCAGTCCAGGAGGGGGACCGTTTACAGCCGAGAACATGTTGTTGTGCATTCCACTCAAGCTGTTGCCCCCAGGGACTGCGCCCTGTCCCGAGGCCGAGTTGGACGAGTTCATGCTACCGGGTTGACCAGAGCGCACACCCAAAGGATTCTTTGAGAAGCTGAGACGGATGCCAGTCTTGACACTGTTCGACAGCTTGTAGCCGTACAGCTCATTGAGCGCTTTGCTGGCCATGGCAACTTCGTCGAATTCCACAAAGCACATGGGTCCATTCTGCTTGTTTCGGAAACAGAGTCGCTTGTACCCGCGTTGTTTGGAGAAAAGGGCTTTAAGCTCCTCCTCGGAAGTGTCGGGTGGCAAGTTGCCCACGTACAGAGTGTTGCAAGGAGGATTCAGGTCATTCGGGTTCGCAGCGGGCAGGCTGTGGCGTGGTGTGTGCTGGGCATTGTATGGGAAACTATGGCCTTGGTTTGGGTATGCGGATGCTGGTGTTCCGCCGCCCATGCGCTGGGCGCCACCCCCGGCGTAGTTCTGCAAAGGTGGCGAGGACATGTTAGTCGAAAGGGACATATTGGCAAAGCGGTTGGTCGGGATTTGAGGGTTGGTGGCCCGGCGTCCAGCAGAGATGTTGGTAGAGTGGCCATTCTCTGCATAGCCCACCGGATCCTTGAGCAGCTCGCCCGTCTCCTCGTCCGGGTCTTCATCAATCATAGACTTCCCGGTTATGCGTGGGAGGTTATCAATGCCATTTCCGATCGGAGATTGTGGCGAGAAAAGGCTGTGCATGCGAGAGCCTGATTCAGAGGTCGGTGGAAGCCCTTCTCCGATAGGCTGGTTAGGATTCGCGTTGGAGAGCCTCTCCAAGCTTTGGAAAGTGCCGTTGAACCGCGAAGATTGACGCGCAAGGGGACCGTTTGAGGCACCCATTAACGCACGACTCGCGGTGTGATCGATGGTGTTACGGCGCGTGTTCGACAGATTCACTCCCATCGGACCGGGGTACATCTCGACAACCATGTTGGCGTCGTTTTTAGAGTTCGGCTTGCCATCCAGGAGGGACCTGGCCTCTTCGGCGGCTGGCAAAGTAATGAATCGCGCGATCGCGGTCAAGAACCCGTCATCCTCCGGCAGGTCCAAGGTCACAAAGTCCGCGTCAACAAAGTCTTTGGCGAAAAGAAGCATGCTGCGCAGGGCTTCGCGGCTCGTGTTTCGCGGCAGTTTGCGCATGAGAATCGCGCCTCCGTTTCCGCGATTCAGGCCATTCAGGCCCTGAAGGTTGCGATCGTTATCGCCTAAGCGCATGTTGTTATCGAATGAAGCTGTTGTGCCGATAGGAGAAAAAGGGTATGAGAAAGACGGGTTCATAGATGAAGGCGCTTGCGACGCATTCGGGCTATACACGTCGGTCGACATCGCATGCTGAGCCGTCAAAGGCGTCTGCGAAGAAGGGAGTGACTGCTGAGGGGGCGAACCAGATGACACGGACTCTGTGAGTTGTGTAGTTCCAAAAGAGCCGGGACTCGTACGAGTTGACTGGCTAGAGCTGCCGCTCATCCCTCCACGAGATATGAAATTTTCGAAGTTTTTTTTTCGCCTTTCGGGGGTTCGCGATCACACAGGGGAGGATAGTCCAGGTAGGAAAAAAAGGAGTCGCGGGATTCGGAAAGTTGAAGTTCTGGGCCGTGATCGGTAATGCGACAAGAGATCGTACACCAAACGCGATGCAACGATAGAAATGAAAAGGCGAAGGCGAAGGCGATTAGCGATTCGATCGAAAGTCGAGTGCACTCGGAGGGTGTCTCATCGGATTTGCGACAGTTGGACTATGAGCGCTTTGAAAACGATTGAGATAAAGATGGGAAATTGACAAGAATGGTAAGATGGATGCAAAAGGGAAAAAGGTTTGAAAGGAGGGGATGAAGGAGAGTGCAGGGGAGGGGGGAAGAAAAGAGTCCGGAACGGTCGAGTGCCAGTCCACAAGTGCCAGATCCATGGATCTGTCCTTCACGACGCGACTCACTGGGGAACAGGTATGTGACAGTGGAGGTACATGGGGTTGTATGTGGGTACCCGTATTAGGGGATGTACTCCAAAATATATGACAGTACATGGTCATCACTTTACACAATTTTACCACAATCTTACACCTTGGCCCTGGAAACTGACCGCATGCAGAGCGTTACCAAGTGCGTGCCCCGAGGTGACTTGTGGGTGATTATGGAATGCCCCCGGTTTTTTTCTTTTTCTTTCTGTTCTCTGTATACTTCTGTATACTCCGTATACTCCGTACAGATATATTAGAAGATCGACGGGTGGATCATGAATCTGTTTCTTCTGGAAAAGCACCGGCCATGCAAGTAGGTGCCTATGCGGCTTGCCGTACCCCGGCTCTGCACGCGATTGGGGCTCTATGAAATGAAGCACACATATCTCACAGGGATGTTTTACTACATATAGACTCGGTAGAATACATAGAATCCCAAGCCGGTACCAAATTCATACAATACCTCTAGGCTGACTGTTGATTGGATGAACCTTGAATGCATTTACAACTGCCGTTAACTAGCCCGGATCGTAAGAGCCAACGGCTTGATATCGAATACACCTCATAGTCCAAGTCATATGGCTCCGGTTGCTATATTATACAATCGTCAGAGCTAACCTTGGAACCTGTTTTATAACTCACAAAAGGTCATCGCACACATCCACGGAATCCCAAAAGTCAAAAACTGGCGATCCTCCAGGGTCACTGACCAATTGCCACGGGTCCAACCCCGGTAACACATGGGATTGGCTGCCACGGGGAAATGACTTCGACTTATCGAGGGGGCGTTGGTTCATTTGGTTGGGCCGTGGAGACAAGCTACTGCTTAGGGGCTTTACTAGCACTACTTCTTCAGAACGTGTGCCTGAACTTGTCATGGGCGCGTCAAATGTTTTGGCTTTCATTACTGACAAAATACGATCGGATTCCAAGGGTATCTTTCTATGTATTTAAGATTCTTACCGTATATATAACCTTGGAAGTGATTTAAAAGCATCTATATACCTCATGACTCTACAGTGTAGGCATAGGTGAGCAGTTTATAGGAAAGTATGCAGTAACGCATAGCCTACCTCGGAGCGAACTATGTGCCTGCCTACATCAAAGGTGACATTTGTGTTCTTCGCCTCAGAGAAAAATCCAAATCGTATCAGTAGATATTCATGTTGCGGCTCGTCTACCGCGTAGAGTCAGAGCAGTCAGGC